AATTTAATAGTGAGTACATGTGGTGTTTGTTTTTCCATTCTTGAGATACTTCACTTAGGATAATGGTCTCCAGTGCCATCGAGATTGTTGCAAAAGGTATTATTTCATATTTTTTATGGCTGAGTAGTATTCCATGGAATACATATACCACATTTTATTAATGCACTCATGAATTGATGGGCATTTGGGTTGATTCCACATCTTTGCAATTGTGAGTTGTGCTGCAATAAACATTTAAGTGCAGGTGTCTTTTTGATGAAAAGTCTTCTTTTCCTTTGGGTAGATACCCAATAGTGGGGTTTCTGGATCAAATGGTAGGTCTACTTTTAGTTCTTTGAGGAATCCCCATACTGTTTTCCATAGAGGTTGTACTAATTTGCAGTCCCACCAACAGTGTATAAGCGTTCCTTTCTCTCTACATCCACACAAGCATCTACTGTTCTTGGACTTTTTAATAAAAGCCATTCTAACTGGGGTAAGGTGATATCTCATTGTGGTTTTTAATTTGCATTTCCCTCGATGATTAGTGACATCGAGCATTTTTTCATGTGTTTTTGGCCATTTGTCTTTCTTCTTTTTACAAGCTTCTGTTCATATCTTTTGCCCACTTTTTAATAGGTTGTTTGTTTTTTTTCTTGCTGATTTGCTTGAGTTCTTTGCAAATTTTGGTTATTAGCCCTTTATGGGATGTGTAGCTTGTGAATATTTTCTACCATTCTATAGGTTGTCTATTTGCTCTGTTGATTATTTCCTTAGCTGTTCAGAAGCTTTTCAGTTTAACCAAGTCTAATTTATTAATTTTTGTTGTTGCCATTGGGGTCTTAGTCATAAATTCTTTGCCTAGGCTCATATCTGGAAGAGTTTTTCCTACATTTTCCTCTAGAATTCTTATGGTTTCATGCCTCTGATCTAAGTCTTTTATCCAACTTGAATTAATTTTTGTGAGTGGTGAGAGGTAGGGATCCTACTTCATTCTTCTGCATGTGGCTATCCAAATCTCCCAGCACCATTTATTGAATAGGGCTTCTTTTCCCCAAAGTACATTATTGTCTGCTTTGTCAAAGATCAGTTGGTTGTAAGTAGATGATTTTATACCTGGTTTCTTTGTTCTGTTCCATTGGTCTATGTCTCTATTTTTGTACCAATACTATGCTGTTTTGGTTACTATAGCCTTGTAGTATAATTTGAAGTCTGGTAATATGATACCTCCAGATTTGTTCTTTTTGCTTAAAATTGCTTTGGCTATTTTGGCTCTTTTCTGGTTCCTAATGAAACATAGAATTATTTTTTCTGGATCTGTGAAGTATGACTTTGGTAATTTGATGGGGATTGCATTGAATTTGTAGATTACTTTGGGTAGTATGGACGTTTTATGATAACAATGTTGATTATCCCTATCTATGAGCATGATATTGTTTTTCCATTTGTCTGTATCCTCTGTGATTTCTTTCCTCAGAATTTCATAGTTCTCCTTATAGAGATCTTTCACCTCCTTGGTTAAGTATATTCCCAGGTATTTTATATTCTTCATAGCTATTGTGAATGGTATTGAGTCTTTGATTTGACTCTCGGCTTAACTGTTACTAGTATATAGAAATGCTACTGATTTATGTACTTTGATTTTGTATCCTGAGATTTTGCTGAATTTATTTATCAATTCCAGGAGACTCTTGGTGGAATCTTTGGGGTTTTCTAGATAAAGGATCATATTGTCAGCAAAGAGCGAGAGTTTGACCTCCTCTATCCCAATTTGGATACACTTAATATTCTTCTCTTGCCTGATTGCCCTGGCTAGGACTTCCAGCACTATGTCAAATAGAAGCGGTGGCAGTGGACATCCTTGTCTTGTTCCAGATCTTAGGGGGAATGCTTTCGACTTTTTCCTATTCAGTATGATGTTGGCTGTGGGTTTGTCATATATGTCTGAAATATGTTCCTTCTATGCCTAGTTTGTTGAGGGTTTTTATCATGAAAGGGTGCTGGATGTTGTTGAATGCTTTTTCTGCATCTATTGAGATGATCATATGATCTTTGTTTTTGCTTTTGTTTATGTGGTGAATCACATTTATT